AATGAGACATGTTTAATTTAATGAGACATGTTTAATTTAATGAGACAGATGTTTAATTTAATGAGACATGTTTAATTTAATGACACAGATGTTTAATTTAATGAGACACATGTTTAATTTAATGAGACAGATGTTTCATTTAATGAGACACATGTTTCATTTAATGAGACACTTGTTTCATTTAATGAGACACATGTTTCATTTAATGAGACACATGTTTCATTTAATGAGACACATGTTTCATTTAATGAGACACATGTTTCATGTAATGAGACATGTTTAATTTAATGAGACAGATGTTTCATTTAATGAGACACATGTTTCATTTAATGAGACACATGTTTCATTTAATGAGACACGTTTAATTTAATGAGATACGTTTAATTTAATGAGACACATGTTTCATTTAATGAGACACATGTTTCATTTAATGAGACACATGTTTCATTTAATGAGACACATGTTTCATTTAATGAGACACATGTTTCATTTAATGACACACATGTTTCATTTAATGAGACACATGTTTAATTTAATGAGACACATGTTTAATTTAATGAGACACATGTTGTAGTTCATAAAGCAGATGTTTAATCTGCTTCATGTTCTTACACTGTCATGTTCTCTGATCTCTTAACTTCCTTTAAAGCCAATTAAATCCTTAAATCCTCTCAAAGTTCATATTAATAATATTAATATGAAAATGAGCTCAGAGGAAAACATGTTTTTAAAAAGAGTTTAAAAACTCTGCGCTTCAGTCAAACATTGAACAATGATGTCATCAGTTCACCTGACGAGATTTAAACACTCAGGTACTTGTACTTCATGTGAGTACAGTTACATGCATTTGATGTATTTAAACTGCGTATTTAGGGCCCGAGCATCCGACGTCGGGTCGCGAAGGCCCTATTGATATTGTACCCGTTTGGGTAAACGTACGCGTGGTTGGAGGACTTGCCATGCATGAAAACTCACCAAATTGTGGGGACTTGTCAGGCCTGGTGAATATAGCCATCTGAAAAAGAATGCATCTTTCTGTGTAAAAAGATGGCTCTCTAGCGCCCCCTACAAGTCGGACCAGTGACGCCCCTCGGCCAGTATGTCCGATTTACTTGAAATTCAACACACATGTCCACTTGAGCTAGATCTACAAAAAAGCCAATCAGACCCCTAAGCTCCGCCTACTTAGATTTTCTGTCATATTGAATTTAGTGAAAAACACATTTTTGAAAATTGCTCCTACATGCTGGGTCCGTTTACTACCACATACTTTGTGGATCATTATTGGATCTAGATCATCAAAACTTGTCAAAAGCTTTTTGATATCTCTTAGCGTTTAAAAGATATGGACCAATGAACTTCTTAGAGGCTTGGCTTACTATCAATACACATAACTTCTCAACCGTTTGTCCTAAAATTACAATATTTGCAGCATATGTGCACATCGTATCCTGTAACATACCCTGAGAATTGTTTTGCATTCAACCACTAGGGGGCGCTACAGTAAACCCGCGAAGTTGTGCTTTTTGTCACTTTTTGCATTTTTCAGCCTTCCTACTTTAACAAACTCCTCCTAGAGAATTAATGCGATTGACTTCTACTTTGGTCAGGATGTTCTTAAGACCTTTGATTAAAAGTTATCAAAATCGTGCGCTTTCATTGAAGAACCTTGACGTGGCATGGCGGCCATTTTGCCTCATTGTTTATCAAAAAATAAGTTCTTATAAGTTGTTATAACTCCAAGGTACATTATCCAATCCGCACAAAACTTATTATGCATGATGCTACTTTAAGTTTGAACATACTTCAATTGAAAAAATTGCAATAACTCATAGCGCCGCCTACTGGCTAAAGGAAATGTCATATTCTATACTTTTATTTATACCTCCTAGCCAGGTTACTTGATGAGTCTCAAATTTAGTAAGGATAGCCTTAAGACATTGATGATGCAACATCATGAATATTGTGCGTTTTCGTTGAACGCTGTTGCCGTGGCGACGCATCGTTTGCCATGAAAAAGGAAGCTGATGGTTTAGTGGGTTGGGATGCTCCAAAACGCATGGAACTTTGTACATGTGTCATAGGTCAGAGGCAGACACAGTGTATATGGGTTTTGGGCTTGGCTGTTTTAAATTGCCTCTATAGCGCCCCCTACAAGATTTCAAAAGAGCAGCCCCAGCGCTACGTTTGAGCTACATGTATGAAACTTAATAGGCACATGTATCCCACGGAGACTTAAATATAAGTCTCTTGGGATCATGCTCTAAACCCTACCGGAAGTCGGCCAGTTTCATTTATGTGTCATTTTTCAATAGATTTTGGCCTATTTCTAGTCGCTATACTTTAACGAACTCCTCCTAAGGACTTCATCAGATCCACTTGAAATTTTCTCAGTACCATGTCAAGACCGTTGTGATTAAAAGTTATCAAAAGCTTTACGTTTGACGGAATCGTTTAGCTGTAGCGGGCAGCTACTTTAAGTGATTCCCCATGAAAAAAGCTGATGTAACTCAGCTGGACTTGTTCCAAACGGTCTCAAACTTCTCATGCTTGATAACACTCATGGCCTGTGGATCTCTACAAGCTAATTTTCAATAATACTCACAGCGCCACCTGCTGGCGAAAGGAAATCTGGATTTTGTGACAAACACCATCAGATTTACATGACTTTTACACAATGTGGTTTACACTTGACACAGAGCTACATAATGCAAGTTTGCACGCGTTCTGTAGTGCCAGGCAGCGGATACAGGAAGCGTCGGACTATTTGCAAAGCATCATTTCCAGCATCAGGCGGTCCACACGGGATTAAATACGCCTCGCTCGCGGACGCGCTGTTCGACGGTCGCGGACGTTCTCTGCCGCGCAGGCCGGAGTCCCGCCAGCACCCCCGACGCGCTGGAGGATGCGAGGGCCCGTTCATCGCTGCTCGCAGCTTTAATTATGTTTTATCACTGAAGTAAAAACAGGAAAAGATGAAATCCTTGAATTGATTCATCTCTAGTTGTTTGTTACCTTGTTCATATTCAATGATTGATGAATAACTGTATTGTAATAAAAGTGTTCATTCTGTATAAAGAGAACTCTACTTTAAGTACATTTTAATGTATTTGTACTTCAGTGGATCCTCTCAGTCCACATCAAAATGATTTATTAACATCTTGCATTCTTCACAAGCTTTATATTCAGAAGTTCAGTCGGTCAGAGAATCATAAACTGATGTCAGCATTAATAATAACTCATATCTGTTGTTTTGTCCTCTCAGCTCTCCAAAGATCAGGACTCTGGCCAAAGCTTTGAGTCCCTGTTTCCTGAGGTTTGGGGGGACGAGACAAGACTTCATGGTCTTCAGCCCTCAGAGGTCTCATCAGGACTCTGGTTCCTCTGAAGGTACCACCAGGTTCCTCTGAATATTACTGAGCTGCAGTCAGTTTCAATGTAATATAATGTACGATATACATATATCAATAATCCTTTGATTAGATGGGTCATGTGATCAGATGGAGCTTCCTTCGTGGCTCGAGGACAAACTGAAGAAAGACTGGACCCAACAACAGCTGATCCTGATCAGAGAAGACCTGCAGAGGAAGTACAGAAGAGTGAAGTTCACAGGTATCTTCAGAGTGTTCTTCTGAAGGTCACATGATGTGTTGTAATCAGAGTCATTCATGAAGCTTTTAAACGGATCAACATAGAGACTCATCTGGTCTTATTTTATCAGGAGTCCCTCAAGGCTCAACACCTGGACCACTGCTGGTTACTTTAGCTGATTATCTACTTTTACTACAGTGAAGTTTTGAAAGCAGTAGTACAGTATTAATACTTGTACTGCAGTAAAGGGTCTGAGTACTTGTCCTCTGGTCTCAGAGTACACCGTGGACAGTAGTAATACTTGTCCTCTGGTCTCAGAGTACACTGTGGACAGTAGTAATACTTGTCCTCTGGTCTTAGAGTACACCGTGGACAGTAGTAATACTTGTTCTCTGGTCTCAGAGTACACTGTGGACAGTAGTAATACTTGTCCTCTGGTCTCAGAGTACACCATGGACCTCCTGAACTCCTTCTCTAACTGCTCTGGGATGGATCTGATCTTCGGGCTGAACGCTCTGCTCAGAACCGCCGACAACATCTGGAACAGCAGCAACGCCGCCTCGTTGCTGAAGTACTGTGAGTCCAGACGGTACCGGATGTCCTGGGAGCTCGGCAACGGTACGCTAACAGGACAACGTGTGTGTGTGTGTGTGTATACAGTGTGTATATATATATATATATATATATATATATATATATATATATAGTAATAATGAAACCCTCTGTTTTTATTGGCTGTGAGGCTTTTTCTTACCTCGGTGTGCAAACAGGAAGTGACATCATGTTACTTCATCTGTCTGGTGAAACAGTAACAGGAAGTGAACCATCAGAAATTAGTTCCTGTGATCTGTTCTGTCTTCAGAACCCAACAGCTTCCAGAAGAAGGCCGGCATCCGAGTGGACGGGTATCAGCTGGGACGGGACTTCACTCGTCTCAGAGAGATGATGTCACGATCCAGATTGTACCACGACGCCGGTTTGTTTGGGCCGGACGTGGGTCAGCCTCGAGACCACCGGGCCGACGTCCTGGAGGGGTGAGAGGTCATCACCGCCGAGTCAGTCACTAAATAATGACATAACAAAGCTCGACATTTCATACAGCAACTCTTGAATTATCAACAATAATAACAATATTATAATAATAATAATAGTTTGTTGTCGTACTAATCCAGATTAAATCACATTGCGTTGTTTCTGCTGCAGGTTCCTTCAGACCGGATCTCAGGCGGTAGACACCTGTACCTGGCACCAGTGAGTTCACCTCTACTGTAACTCAGAGTATACACTCTGACTGTGTACTCAGTGTGTACTTCAAAAAGTATATACACTGACTGTGTACTCAGTGTGTACTTTATAAAGTATATACACTGAATGTGTACTCAGTGTGTACTTTATAAAGTATATACACTGACTGTGTACTCAGTGTGTACTTTATAAAGTATACACACTGACTGTGTACTCAGTGTGTACTTTATAAGTATATACACTGACTGTGTACTCAGTGTGTACTTTATAAGTATATACACTGACTGTGTACTCAGTGTGTACTTTATAAGTATATACACTGACTGTGTACTCGGTGTGTACTTTATTCTTACCTTATTGTTTATTGAAGAACGATTATGTGGAGAATATCTTAAAGAGACTGCAAAGCGTTTATATAAGTTCATGTTTGTTTTTGTTGCTCAACGTGTCTGAATATTAAAAGTATTCATTCCTTCACTCTGTCCTATTTCCTAGTTATTACGTGAACGGGAGAGACACGTCTTTGGAGGATTTTCTGGATCCTAAAGTTCTCGACACTCTGGCCTTAAAGACCAAAGAAGTCCTGAAGGTAATAATGTGCAGAAGTAGATGCACACTTTGACCCCTCAGTGTTTGATATGAGTGACATGAAGATATTAAAGTGGATGTTTTCTGCTCTGGTTTAGAAAGTGAAGCAGGTTTCTCCTGATAAACCAGTTTGGCTCGGAGAGACGAGCTCAGCGTACGGAGGAGGAGCTGTTGGTCTGTCGGACACATTCGTCGCAGGATTCATGTGAGTTTATTCTTTATGTCTTTAAGTAAGACCTTAAAGAAGGCCGAGTCCAAATCACGTCGAGGCCGAGTTCAGTGGCCAAAAAGACGCAAAAGGTAAACATTGAGTTGGAGGTGAAATAATTTGTCAATTGGTCGTTAGACTGAAAGTTAAGCAGAAACAGTTTTATTAATGAATCATTTGGGACCAACTAGTTGCAGCTTTTCAGATGTGAATGTTTGCTGTTCTGTTTTGTCTTCTATGGTAATAAATTAAATATCTCTGTGTTTTTGACTGTTTTAAAGACGTCACATTGCAGCTCTACATTCAGAAGGATAAGTTGAAGTATAACTTAAATCATCACTCTGTTTGAAACAGGAAACTACTGAAATTTACCCAAATGTTGCATTATTTGATCAACTTGTGATCAGAGAGCTACTCGTCTAAAACAAGGAGCTCCATTTGCTCTAAAAACCGTGAGGAGCTGAAGGTCTGATTTCCTGCTTGATTATCTTAAACAGGAGGGTCGTGGTCTCTCAGGAGGTTTACGTGTAGTTTATTGAGTTTACTGATTACCCAGCAGCCCTCTGCTCTCATGACAAAACTTAGAGCTACTCACTCACACACGTTTCTGTATCATGTTCCCATGTTTCAGTGTTATTAAAACATGTTTCTGTTTATTTATGTTTCTGTTTTCAACACATCTTTTATTGTCATTGACACACATTTATATATTGTTAACACATGTTAGTGTTATTAACACATGTTAGTGTTATTAACACATATTACAGTGTTATTAACACATGTTACAGTGTTATTAACACATGTTACAGTGTTATTAACACGTTTCTATGTTATTAGCTCATGTTTCTATGTTATTAGCTCATGTTTCTATGTTATTAGCTCATGTTTCTATGTTATTAGCTCATGTTTCTATGTTATTAGCTCATGTTTCAAGTGTCATTAGCTCATGTTTCTGTGTCATTAGCTCATGTTTCTGTGTTATTAGCTCATGTTTCGGTGTTATTAGCTCATGTTTC